GCTTACAAATTCTGTATATTTTATTTAATGATTTTATTGTGTTAGTTGAAAGAAAATGTTAACGACTAGCTAAACATTTATATGTATGTATGCCGTGAAAAACATTGCAAATTATTTAATGAAAGACTTTGATGTGTTTGATATAAAAATATCTCGTTATTTTCTTCATTTACATCGAGATCCGGAAATAAAGAGATTAAATTCTTGATGGCCGACAGCGAGACGAGAGTGAGACGTAAAACACGGTCCTCCAGGGGTTAAAGGCGGAGCGTTTTAAATCGGCTTAACGGGTCAATGAAGTCGGAAAGCATGATCCGGGGAAACGAGGTCAAGGGATGAATCGGAAAGAAAAAGGGATCGCTGGCGAGTCGAGGGTGTATTTGTTCGAGGTATTTAATTCTAGAATAAATCTTCGTTTTTCTTCGTCCTCTTCTTTCCTCTTTCGAGGGAGAAGGGCAGTTATTCGGAAAGGAATGGCTGACCATGTCGGGCGTCATAATTCCACTCGAGATGGCAAGAGTTAGCGTATCCTGGAATTTCGCAGACCCTCTCTCGTAAACGGAATCGGAAGTTATCGCGATAATAATACGCGTGCGTTGCGTCATAATCGTAAACTTAGAACGAGTTGAACCACGCTCATAAAATTTTTATCGGTTAACGCGTAGTGAGGTAGCTCTATACTTTTTGTTTTCACGGCGTTTCGATAAATGTTATTAAAGGTGCAAGACGTAAAAGCACGAGATCCTGTTCTTTATAACTTAACGTTAGTTAAATATTAATTTTTAAATTCTATCTTTCCTATTTTCCCTATAATAAAATATATATATGATATAAAATTTGCGTGTTAAATTGATAGTCAATTCATTGTTGCTTCTTTTCCACGATTCTGATTGGTTCTCTCTCTTTGTTCACTTCATACTGCGAGAGTAACTGTCAGCATGAAGTGTTTTGACAGCTCACAAAGGTTAGATTAATTGATCTGTATACTTGTGTACTTGTATATTTGTGTAATTTTTATATAAGTATGTAATATTAAAAATAAAATTTAGCGCGCGCGTAGTGCGTATTATATCCGGTCTATTAAAAAATGAAATGATATAATATATAATATTCATGCTGTTTGGGTTTTCTACAATAAGCCATTACCTAAGTTTAAGTCTTAAGTCATAAAAAATCGATTAATCATAGTCGATTAGCAGTTTCTTACGACTTAAATTTAGGTAATGGCTTATTGTAGAAAGCCCATTATATTTACTCTCCGAAACTCGCAGTTTCCCAGAGCCACACAATTTAGGATAACTAAATAAAATTCAGGATTCAGTAGAAAACGAACGAAGCAATTTAGATCAGGTTTCGAACTAATCGCACCGATTGAGACAAGTTCGCGATGTCACGAACGATTTCGTTAGTCTTGCTGGAGGCTAAGCGAGAGGTAGAGACGCTTGCGGTGTCGTGGCCGTCGTTTAAGCCGCGGCTTAACTCGGCTTAAGGCATTATTCTCCGTCTCTCTCGCCTTTTGCTCGGGCTCTCCTCTCTGTACTTCCGCCTCGTTCCGCCCTGCTGCGCGGCTTTTAATCGAGCGCCAGCGGATTATCTCGACATCGAATCTACGGTCAACCTGCAAACCACCGGCAAACTCTGGACCTTTGTGCGTCATTCTATCCGCGCGACTCAGGTGCCCCGTTTCACGAACTCGCAATCTAGGCAAGCGCATCCGCTTTCTCCCTTTGACGTGAGGTCAATCGACATAATAATGACAGATAAATTCGCATGAACGTGATATCTCGTTACGATAAAAACAGAATTATCAAAAGAAATGATCGTTCGTTGTCACAATATATCATGCTTGTATCATTCTTGTAATTATTACAGCTTGATCTTGTGACACGGAAATAGATAATTTTATCCGTTTATATAATAATATTAATCATAGCTACTATAATTAGCGTGCATTATAATCGATTGTAATATCATTTAAATTAATTAATATTATATATTTAACATGTGCGCTTATGAACAGTGAATATATCCTCATTATCGAGAATCGCGCGTTATAGGTCAACCATAAATGATATTCCCGTAGGAAACGTTTTAAGCGCGGGATCGCGGATATCGCTGATGATCGATCATTTCCCGCCGCGAGTTGTGATATTTACAGAGACTGTTTACCGCGCGTATGCCACATAATTTTACCACTCTCGCGTCAAAGAGAAAAAAGAGAGGAAAAAACCGGGCGCCATTTGTCGCGGATCTTATCGGGCGGCAATGGGTGGACTTTTCGTTTTAAAACGACTCGAGCGTAAATGCGGCCTCGAAACCGCTCCGGTCGAACCCCCGAAACGCGCACCGGGGCTACTGCTTTAGCACTGGATATTTATTACCTCACGGTGTAGCCTTATCGAGTGGCCTCGCCATGCTTGAAATCGTGAGAATTCCAACCAAACCGCCTCTCCGCCTCCCGCATGTACACATACATATGATCGTTCTCCTATTCCCCATGCACGTACAGCATGCGAGCGGGATTACATATGAGTGTGTGCCCGGTAACGGGACAGAATGTAATGGAGAACGGGACGGAATGGAGATGGAGAGACGGGACAAGAGGTGGGCGGGAGGGGGGAGGGGTCTTTGACTGGCGCGCGAAGGGGACCAGATCAGCCCTTCAGGTTGCTCGGCAAGGGTGCGCGATATTGATTCCTACCTAACATTTACACTAAACGTGGAAGCTCGGTGTTATGTATTTTGCGACTCTAGTCAATAGTACCTACATATACGATTCCGTCCAAGGAAGTCCCGCTACTTTCCCGAGTCATCTGCGGTAGTGTCCTGCGAGGATGATTAATTCGACTTGTTTTTAGTACGAGCTGTATTATACTGCACGTATTATAACACGTGTTTCCCGTGAAGCCCTAAAACGCGCACAGTATTGTTCTAATCCTATAAAGGGATGCAAACTATTATCATATATTATAATATAATAGTTCAATTAATATCATATATTATACATGATATACGGCCAACGAATTATACATATAAATTATACATATAAATGCTTATTATGTATTTACGAAAAATATAAATTTTAAAGAAACTCTTAAATTATGCAGCGAAGCGCAATATTGCGGCATATAAAGATACGTAAAAAATTAAAGGATAAACTGCATCAACAGTAAAGTTATTTATATTAGAAAAATGTTACAATTCACCTTTCTCATCGTCTTTTGGAAGTTCCATTGACACTTGGATGATTCTTTAATTCTTCATCAGTCAATGATTTAACGATCGTTCGAGCGAGATTACAATTTTGCGTTACTTTGAGTATCACGGTTAAGCGATATTCGAATGGAGAACCCGATCTTCGCATCGATATCCGTGATTATTCGTGCTTCGTTGTCTTGCTCCGTCGCCAGTTATTTCGAGCGCGGTGGTGGAAGTTACAGTGGTGTTGGCGCGTGTCCCAGTACATACGGCTTCCCGCGTTATATACGTTTACAGCTTTCCGATATCTAACTTCTGCGCCCCTTTTTCCACGTTTCAATGAGCCACGACGCGAACGAGCCCGCGCGTACACCGACACCGCACACATATACATCCGCCGCCTCTCTCTCCCTATCGACCGGCTCGGATCGATAGCGATCTATATTACAGGCGGCTGACTCCTCGAGTGGAGGACGACGGGGGTCTTCGACGTCTCACCGATCGCTGAAAAGGCTATTTGCCTCGCGGTGATGGTGATGGTAATAACGGCGCGCAGTTCCGCGGCTCTATTATGATAACCGAAACTCCTGCGGAACTACTACTGAACGCGATACAGCTCATCCTCTCTCGAAAGTCGTCTCCCTATCCACCGAACAAAAAGCGATTATCGGTTACGGTAAAAAGCGAGAATGCGTTAAACATCAAGATTTTTTTTTACGTGCTTGATAATGGAGAGCGCCCGCGATCCGTTACAGCGAATTATTATTTGCATTATTGAGGCATCATAGTTAAACTCGTCATACGTAGGAAAAATAGCTAATTTTGATCTCCTTAACGACGTACGTACGATCCAATTACATTATTATCTCTCTCTTTTTTTTTTTATTGATCTCTGAATTTAATGGAGATGAATTTACGTGTGTTCGCGTGATGTCGAATAGTCTGATAGGTCCTCTTGCCAACTTTGCCGCCCCTTCAGCAGGTTGCCGCGCAAGATCTTTATCTTTCATAATGCTACGAGATTAATAATGCGAGATCGAAGTTGCCCGGTCGAGATCGAGGATGAAGGGAGCGGGAGGGGAATGCGTCTGCCTCTTGTAACAGACAAATACAAGACAATGAAGATTAATGCTTCGACCTCATTCTCTCCTCCTCTGCCGGCCGGCCGTTCCTGGTCGACGGCATCGTGTGAACATTTCGGTAATCTCCAAGAGAAGTGTCCCTTCGGACTCAACTTTGGGGAACGCGCTCTTATAACCCTGACCCTAAATTTACTATAGTTGACGAATCTTCTCAATGATTCAACATGAACGATGATTTTGTCTTTGATTAATTCTGAATGTTGATTTCTGAGTAGAATGAATGCGATATTATTGATGTTATATTTAAGCTCAATCAGCCTTAATCGAAATGACTCGTTATAAATAATTCCTGTAAATGATTATAATTCTGCGTAGAAGATAACTTTGTTTCTGATCCATCAATTTTAACAATAATTGTCTATTGCGAAACAAGAATGATACAATTAATTTTGTTTATCAATTTACGAAATTTACAAAATAACTTATGAGATATATATGGATAATCATCACAGTACAATTGTTTTATACGAGGATAAGACATACTTGCTTCTAAAATTGATTAGATAAGATAAATTTTGACAAAATTATACACATTCTTATTTAGCCTCTAGTGCGTACTTGTTTACATAGATTTAAGATTATATCGCATAACAAGGCTAATTTAACAACATTTTCAATCCATAATTGCTTTGTCATTTGCAGATTAGCAGTTGGCGTGACATGGATGTGAGCTTCACGAACGTGTTAGAGGGGGCTCGCCAGTACTTCCAGGGACTGCCCGTACCGAGTACAGGTAGTGGCGCGGCCACGTCAGTGGATCATAATCTCCACTCGACATCCTCCACGAATCCGGCCTCGTCCACGTCGGCGACAACGCATGATCATGATGCACCGTCGCAGCCGACACAATCAACCCAGTCAATTTCGACTTCCGCCAATAGTAGCAGCAGCAGCAGCAATAGCAATGCCCAGGAGTCGAATCGTTATTCCGCCGACGTTAGACCTTCATCGTCCGTGGAGAGTAGCAATGCGACTGCCGGATCTAGCTTCTGGAATCCACACGTGGAGCCATATGCGCCGCAACCCACCAGGGTCGAAGTCCCGGATACAAGGCCAGGCGACGAAGGCTCCGCCATGGAGCCCAGCTCCTCCTCGGGCACTGTCACTTTAACCGAGATGCAGCCTTCAAATTATCAATTCTCCTCTTCCTCCTCCTCCGTTGCCGCATCATCGTCGAATTTTTCGCAGAGACCGCCACTAACGTCATCATCGTCGTCGACCACCTCGTCCTCCAGCGATCACAATCATCACCATCACCAATCTCATCTTTCAACGTTGAACTCGTCATCACATTTGCATCAGATGCAACCGCCTCAACCGCTACATTCCCCTGGACCAGTGTACCAGCAACTCAGTAATGTCAGCAGGACGTCCTTTAGTGCGGCAGAGATGCTCGCCTCTTCCTCATCGCACTCTGCTTCAACCTATCAGGCCGCCAATAACGATAGGCAATCGCAGCCGATCGTTGCGCAGAGGACTCAGTACTACCCACGCTACCATCACCCAGATATCACGAAATGCGCACCGGCCCCGTATTCGCAGAGTTCCATTTATCAGTCCGCCAATGTAGCGCAGCCCCCGAGTATGGTTCAGCAACCGAGCACGAGACCGACGCCAATAGAACAGAATAATACGACGGCATCATCCAACGTCATTACTCAAGGACATTGTCCGCCGGAACAGCAACGAATACCTGGTACTTATGGCAACAATATGCCACTCGCTCAGAGTTCTCTCAATGGATCCTCGGTATATGGACCTGGTTCCTCCTCTTCATCCTCTCAGAGTTACACGAACCGTTCCACGAATCAGTATCAGCAGCAGGCCCATCGTCTGACCGCTTCCACTTCGAGCGCCAACGACAGGTCTCATAGCTCGGACGGGTTGCACTCTTCCACCGCCGCTTGTTCTTCATCGTCACAGGCGGTCAGTCCGCGTCAGCCTGGACCAGGAAGTTCCTCCTCTAATCACATTCCTTTGCAATCGCAGTCACAGAATCTTCCGGGTCACATTCCTTCACCGCATCTGCCATCCGCTGCCACCTCGGTACACTATCATCAGCAACAGCAGCAACAGCAACAGCAGCAGCAGCAGCAACAGCAACAACATCATCAACAATCGTCTCTACAACAGCAGCAGCAACAGCATCCTAGTCGTATAAATGCATCGCCACACTCGCACGGTTCCGCGTATGGAGGCCGCATAGTGCCGCTGCCACCGCACGGCGTTCCATCGTCATCCTCCTCTGTCGCCATGGCGGCGAATCATTCGCAGCAGCAACAGATGCCACCACCCCCGAGTGGATATCACGTAGGAACGACGCCATCACCGCACCATGAACCGTCGCCACGTCACGCTACTCCGTCGCCGCATCATGCGACTCCATCGCCACAGCGGCAGTCGCCCCACGTGTCCAGCTTGCACAATCCACATGCCTCCCCATCTCCTCATCATACACCCTCGCCGCACAACAGCTTCCAGCCACATTCGCCGACCTATCCACCACCACCGCCTCCGCCACCGCCACCGCAGCAACAACAGCAGCAGCAATCGTCGACTTCGTCAAGGTCGACACCACAATCGTACAATCTGCCACCGGTCACCTCGCAACACTATCAAACGAATTACGTGGCGGCGGTTCGTGACGCGGCGATGGGGTTGCCTTACGCACCGCCGCCACCGTCCCAGTCTTCGTACCATTCCTTCCAGAAGAACCCACAACCGGAGTCTCAGGGGAATAACTATTACTCTCAGCCAAGTCGATCTCACAATCAGTCTTACAGTATGCAGCAGATGCTGGTACCACAGACTGTATACCCTAACACTCCCGGTAACAACAATCTAGGTAGCTACCAGCAAAATGTCAGCAAGCCCACGACGTATAACGGCGCGGATGCTACGAAGAGAGGGGCGATTGACGTTACGACGATACCTTACGGTACGCATCGGTCACCCACGCAGAGGAGTGGCAACACGCATAACCTGCCACCTATCGCCGCTCTTTCGTCTTATCATTCCAACAGGCGAGAACTATTGGGAAAATCGGCGCAAACAACAGCACGACAACGAATACATTCGACGAATGCAACCAACAAAGTCCCATCCGTCGTGATGCCACCTTCGTCTATAACAATGCCTCCTCAGAGGATTGCCGAATATCCAATGACTCCGGTCTCGGCTATAAACCATGCGATACCGGTGAACGGTAGAACAACCACTGTAACGAACATGACATACGGTTCGCGATATACCGGCCAACAAAGCTACCCATCATCGACGTATGCCACCACAATAGCGCCCAGTCATCATAGTAACAACTCCGCTAATAGCACTACAGTAACGACTATCAGTAGTCATGGTGGTTCAGGTGGTACGAGGTCTTCCGTTTCATCGATCCACGCGTATCAGTCTTCCGACGAGTCGGATCGGTCAGCGGGATCGTCGTCATATCATCAGCCACCGACACGAATAACGACTGAAGGCTATGCCTATAAAGAACATCCTTATCAGAACCCAGCGTCATCCGGTAGTCAAGCAACTTCGGCCGTCACTATGACAAGTTCTCCGTCGTCGAGTAACGCAGTTCGGAAGAGAGAATCTCCTCTGGATTTGTCCGTGAAAACAGTTAAGACATCGGCTGATTCTACGGCGCAGGATGACCTTGAGACTGTCAGCACCGACAAACATGTCAGTAGTTCAAATCTGAGTTCATCTAGGAATAACATAAACAGGCCGATGCCACCTCCGGCTGTCGTGCATCAATCGGCACCGGCACAACCGTCATACTCGTCGTCGTATGATAGGCCTTCGAGTAACAGTTCGAGGAATTCCATGCAAGTGACCTGCGTTCGGGCATCGACGCCTCAAACGGTGTGTGCGCCCAAAGTCGACTTTCTGCCAGATTTTACTTCGACGCCGCTACGTCATCAATCGCACCACGACAGTTCTCTTCGCAGAAGTACTCCGCAGCATCCGCAGCAGCTTTACGTTCCATCCGCCCAGCCTCTCTCATCTCATCATACCAACACCTCTCCACTGCCTCATATGTCCACGTTCAAGAAGCGTCCACTGCCCACGTCGCCGTACGACGGTCTGACGATACCACCGCCACCGTCGTCTTCGTCGTCATCGACGTCTGCGTCTTCATCATATCTCCAAACAAATGATTCTGTATCCTCGAGGTTTTCCAAATATCACTCGATGATGGATTCATCTCCGCGACTTGGTCCGCCCACATTGCCTGCACAAGATTACCCACCCGACTCGAGTTACTATTTAGCGGACAGTAGGGCCAAGTTCGATCAGCAATTTCCTCAGCGCGAGCGGTCACTCAAAAGAGCTGGAGAGGCGATTTATGATATAGGAAGTCCTAATAAACAGACCAGAACTGCTTGGCGAGTACCGAGTACTGACAAACAAATTGTTGAGTCGAAACTATCGACTACAGGTGCGCAGAACGAACAGCAAAAACGGCAAGAGATGAACTTGTCGGTTCCTCTGCCAAATGGAGCTCTGACAACACCTGGCGATCACAGAATCGACAACGGTAATTATTCGACGCCAGAATCCAGATATCAGTCTGTATACTGTGATAAAAGGATCTATCCGGAGTCCAAAATCATACGCGGTTCGCCGTTGTCGTACAATCATCCAGTCATCTCGAAATCCGCGAGTGTACACCCATTACCACAACAATTGAGCAGTGCACAACTTACCTACCCAAATTATCGCCAGTCAATTCAGAAGATGGTATATCCTTCGAGCGGGATGTCCAGTGGCCAATCGATAGATCAACCTAGCAATACTGGTGCCGACAAGAGGGTGCTCAACTTGCTGAGGAACAGCTTGGAAAACAAACAACAAAGGGATGAGCAGCTCAATAGTCAACAACCTATTTTGGTTAATCATAGTCAACAGAGCTTCCAGAATAAGGTGAGAAATTGCAGGTTTTATTTATGCCATTTTTTTAATCAATAACTCACCAATCTTTGCGCATAAAATTAAAATATCGAATAATGTGAATTGTAGTTGGAGATGAAAACGTGCGACGATTTTACTTAGCATTTCTATTTATATCTTTGTCTGATCTCCAGACACTCGACGTATATATGACGTTTCTGATAATTTCCGTGAAATTCCCTCAGGTCGTCGCGCCAGTCGAGCCCAAGAGCATCGGCAGGCACAATCTGTCACCATTCACGGCGGCGAGTTTGCTCGAGCGTAACAGCAACACACCGCCACATTACAAGTTGCACGTTCCGCGAGCAATAGACTCGATCACTCAGGAAGTGCCACGTAGCATGTATGCCTCAAGAGTGAACGCATCTGCCACGCTACCCGGCAAGGAAGCCTCCCTTGCGGGACCACGTGGCGCCGAGAATCAAATCCATCGTGACAAGGACGACGGTCTTGCCGCTATCTTAGCTGCGAAGATTAGGACGAAGGCGGAACTGAAACAAGTGCGTGGTTGTCTCTACTTCACTCTAATTGATTTGTACAGTTATGCTAATTATCCCGATTTCACAATTTATATTTTTTAATTAGGTCGGGACTGGCCAATTTACAACGAAAGCATCTTCCATACCTTCTCAAGATGTGTCATCAACGCCGAGAGGTAATTTAGTGTTATCTAGCGTAAAAGACGCTACTAGTTAGATATTATAGAGATTGTTTTAATAATATTTTCATGTCGATTTGACCTATTCGTCTCGTCTCGATCATAATTCGCATAATAATTGTACCCTTTATTCAATTAGTCGATCGTGCTACAATTAATATTATCTTTGAGGTATGCATATAATTTTTATATTATGCACACAGAAATCGATAGTGCGGCTTCGACGTCGACACCACAGTCTGGTTCGTCCGCAGGTAGCCCACCGAAATTAACACGCGAGAAAACGGTCTGTTTGCCGCCCAGAAGACGTTTGTTTTCGAGAACCGATGAGGATAATGTACCGGTAACTGTGCCTGTTGCCGTCACGGTCGCGTCCACAGTCCCAGCTAGGGCGAGCGGATGTAGTAAACATCGGTCTTTGACTTCCGGGAGAGTGACTCAGAAAGTGAAATGCCAGTTCTCGAGCGACAAACCTTGGAGGAAATGAGAAGAGATAGAAGGCAGTTGTCCAAAGTCCAACCCCCGATACCTCTCAATGATGCTGTATGTATGAATATGGCGTCTTCGACGGATCTCGTGAAGATAGAACTAAAGGTAATGTACAGGAATGGATAAAAAAAAATTTAAAATGAAGAACGATATAAACGAATTATTTAATTTATATGACTGAAATACAAAGACGGAGATTTTTAGTTAGTAATAATTGATTTTATTTGTGTCAGTAACACATTAACTGTTCTTTCTCTTTCAAAAGTAATTTTTCTTTAATATTATATAGATATACTCGCGATAAATTCAATGAATTATTTTAAAGTAGTATCTATACCATCTGTATATTCCTCATTTGCTATTTATAGAATCTTTATGTACATATTCACTATATATTTATATTAAAACATATTATAATTTACATTGTTTGTTTAAAAAAGAAACAAAAGTATATTTACACTTTTACCAAACATTTTTATTTTTGTATGTTATATGAAGATCATATATGTATTACAGTTGGCAAGTTAAGTAACACCGTTACTTTTACCGTTACTTTTTATAATAACAATTCAGTAATGACGTTACAATTTTTTTATGACTTCAATGATAATAACTAACTAAACGTTAAGCTTGTGCTAAAGTTAGGAAAGTCATTTTTAAAAAGTAACTCATCACCATTACATGATATTTATTGAAAAAATAAAAGTAATGAAGTACAAGTAACGCGTTACTTTTTCAGTAATTAGTTTTCTGTGTGTGCGACCTTTTTAATCCCTTATAAGTAACGAGTAACCATTCTAACCTTCATAGTACCGTCATAATAAAAAGTTCACAATCATTATTAAATTGTTATTATAACGAAGTAACGAGAGCAAAAGAACGGCGTTACAAGTTACTTGCCATCCCTGTATATATAGGAGAACCTGGGGCACAATGAAACCATGGGATATAATGGGATACACTCAATAACTTTTCACAGAGATGTTACTATATAATGAAAATGTCAGGCAATATATATATAGTTACTGTTAGATATGTATCTTATTATATACTGTTATCAGTTGTCATATTATTTTTACCTGAAAGTTACTAAAAATTGTTTAATGCGTTCGCTGTGGTGTTCGCCACTGAGTTACAATTTTTTTGATATATTCGCGTAAAGAAAGCAATAATAAAATTCTGTTTTTTATTACAAGTACATTTATCTTATTAAACAATCTCTTCTTGTCATTTTAGTAAAATCTATATAAATATATTGGATTATCTGTGGTATTTTATATTATCTAAAGTAAATTTTTGCACTTCGAGGCATAATGGCGCACTAATACATGGGGCACAATGGTGCGCCGTGATATTATTCGCCGTGACACATGAGACAATAGAAGTGAGGTTAGCGTCAGCCTTTACGTGTTTGCGTGTTCCTAGAATTGTATAAATGCAAATATTGTAATCATACACAAAATTTTAATTTTTATTCATGTTTAGTAACAGCAATATACCTACATAATGTATCAAATATAGAATTATTAATAAAAAGTTAATAATTAAAAGTATAATAATATGTTTCTACTTATATTTCGCATTCTAAATCACTTTTAAGCAATATTCAATATTAATTTTTGGAAAATAAACAAGTTTTATCTGATATACCCCGCATAAACGGCATAGTGAGGTTAATGCACGCTTTCGCTAAAACAATAATTTTGTCCTGTTAATCTATTCTTTTGCAGTAAAACTTAGGTTTTTCTTATAGTAAATACTCCAAAGAATATTTTAATATGTAACAAAGTTGATTTATTTATTTTTAATATGCTTATATTTCGATCATAACTTCATCGATTATAACTTGATCAAGCTTACTATAACCATTATGCCCTGGGTTCCCTTACAGCCCTACATGTACATATATTGCGAGCAAATGGAAAAGATAATATTTATAATACAATACGATTTTTTTCATATATATGATTTTTTTCATAGCTTTTTCTATTAAACTTTATACTTACTGCTATAGTATTGTGTAAAATATATGTTTAAATTTTTTCTTTTTATCTTTAAAAGTTCTAGTCACCATGAGTTTCTACTTGCATTATAATTCTAATTTATAGATATAATCTTTGTTTGCAGGAGAATGATAAAATCAACGACATGGATCCATTCTGGAATAACACCTGTGATAAGTTTATGGATCAATTACGCGGGGGCGATACCGTAAAGAAACGTGGACGTAGAAAAAAAGTGAGTGGTATCGCAACATCGAAACTTGAAGACATAGTTAATATATTTGATAGCGACAAGGAATCGGATACCAATGCATCGCATTCTCGAATCAAGACCGATGACATCAGGAAGGAAATATCGGATCCATCTAATAAGAATAAAAATTCGATTTTCAAGGACGTTAGGACGGAGTCCGGGCTGAGGAAGGAAGACGATAAACACTCAAGTGATGATTCAGACGAAGTACCGTTAATTAAAAGAACAAAACAGGAAGTGAAGAAGGAAGATAGTGATTGTGACGAGGAAGTGATATGCCGAAGAAGACGAATTCGCAGGATCAAGCTTGAATCTTCTAGTGGTAGCGAATCCTCGAGCGAGGACAGTGATGCCAGTACTGGTACCGTATTTGGTCATGGTTCCTCAGTTGCTGACAGACTTCGAGCTAGGAAACGAGCTAATGTGTCTGAAGGTATGAAGCTTCGTTCGAGAGATACTACTCCTCATAAGTCAAAGACAGAGAGGGAATCCAAATTGTCGCCTCCTAAAGGTGGAACATCTCAAAAAGCGAAGCCGAAACCGTTGTTCGGTGACGGTAGTGATTTTAGACCTGGTTGGGAAGAGGAGGTTTACGTTTACAAAAAATCTCTAAGAATGCCACCTAGATTGATTACAGTGTCAAAACCATCGCGTTTTCACCGACTATCCACGTCATTGCCAGATTTAGATCCTGGTTCGCCGGCATTGTCTGTCTCGATGGATAGTTCCGACGTGTGTCTCAGCCGTAATAAGAGAGACAGTGACATGGAATCTAATTACAGTTTCAGCATTATGGGACTTGGCAGTAAGATTGATGACGAAGAGGCGACTTCATCAACAACAGTTTCTTGTCCTCCGAAGGCCATGATGAAACATTTCCGATCGGATAACAATTCTATTGTCGATGTTCTCGCGCAGAAAGTCGGAAGTGGTGGTCAGAAAGACTCAAAAAAGAAGCAGAATCTGAAAAGTAATAAGAGTAGTAACATTAATAAAAGCAATAATGAACCGGAACTTTTACCAACACCAGGTCTTACACCGCTTCTGTCGTCCGAAACAGCAAAGAGCTCTAAAAATAAAATTGCGTTGAAGAATAATAGAAACCCGATTAAAGTTACCAACTCCGTCCTCCTCGGTTATTTCCGCAAAGAGACGGTCAATAATTTCCGTGACGCATTCAAAAACAATCATACGTTGCCCAATGAATTCTCCACTCTAGTATTGAAGAGTAGAACCAGAACGGAGACGAAAGTCTTGAAGAAGGAAACCACTATTCGTGAAGTGTTCGGCGAGGATAGGCCTGCGTCAGCCCCGCCGATGCAGAATCGCGATGACACATCACAAGATGACGATTCGCAGAATGAAACACCAGAGAATGCATTAGGCAAGGTACGAACATTAAAGCAAAAAGTAGTGTCTCGTTTGAGGAACGCTGGTATACTACGAAGTCACAAAGCTATTGCGAATTCGAAACGTCATCTATTAACTGCCGAGAGGCGAAAGGATCTCCTCAAATCACTTGCTGATAAGAAACTACAGCGCAATAAGACTGACATAGAGCAAGAAGAGACAAACGACATCAGAGAAGAGGAAAATAACGAGATTGAAGATGACAAGAACGATTTGGAGATTCGCAATAAAAAGAAGTTGAAACTTCGACCTGGCCGACGAAAATTCCGTTCTGGATTCGATTACATCCGTAAGAAGAAGAAACCATTAAAAAAAGACGAAACATTACCAAAGGAAAGAAAGAGAGTATGTATATATTACATATTTTTATGTATATTTTGTCCAATTCGTTTGTTTCCATCTCCTTAAGATTTTTGTGCGTTATTTTTTCAATATTATTTTGAAATGCGATATATCACTTTATAGCAAAATCAAGCTAACAAACCAAGCCCGGAGTGCGTAGCCGATATTCAATCTGAGATCAGGACGTGGGTTATCAAGAAGGGTGTCGGGGAAACCATATTACACCGTGCTGCCCGTCTCGGTTACACGGTAAGATAATGATCACATTGCTACGTCATGCGATAAAATTAACTACGATTTGCGTGAATTATGATCTAATCTGCTTATATTCCGCTGTATATAGGACGTGACTGCTTATTGTCTGGAAAAGCTGAATAGCGCGCCGAGTCCTAAAGACAACGCGGGATACACACCACTTCATGAGGCGTGCTCCAAGGGTCATCTGGAGATCGCAAAACTCTTACTAGCTTACGGTGCAAACGTAAGCGAGAGTGCTAATGGTGGTATCAGGTAATACTTTCATCAAATCTTTTATGATAACTTTTCTCATGTCAAATCGACGAGTAACTTGATAAATGTAGACGGTTATAAATTATGATAGATTGATAGACATATATATATATATTCTCCATATTATTAGACCACTTCATGAAGCGGCGGAGAATGGTGCTACAGAACTTGTGCGATTGCTGTTGTCGTATGGTGCCGATCCATTGTTGGCTACTTATTCCGGACAAACGCCTTTGATGTTAGCTGTTGATACTGAAGCTAATACCATTCTAGAACAGCACCTGGCTGATATTCAAGGTCGTACCACCGTGCCATGGTCATTCGCTGGTCCATCTTCAATTTTAGGTAGTTACGGTAGTGTTAGCATAAATTCTTCAGAATTCTTAACAGTTTTGTGAGTATCATATGTCTTCTACGGAATTCTTTTTAGATCCAGAAGAGACGGGCTACAATCCGCTCGATGATGTTCCATTGGACGATCCTGAATCAGATGAACTAGATGATATCGAAATGGAAGTAAGCGACATCAACTTGCCTGTCTTGTTCACCTTGAACAACGAAACCGACAAATGGGTGCTGCTCCAAGATCTCATGGCGATTTTAAGGATAAAGAGTCGCGATGCTCTTCTTCGTCAAATTAATCCGAAAGCACATTCTGGGCCGCCTGCAATTGCGCATCGTGAGGTCATGCGTGAGCTGAAGCTGCCAGATTTCTTGGAACAATCTCGTTGTTGTCACCTGTTGAGCGGCGGCGAAAGGATTAATGTGCGTGGTTCCAAGGTCATTCTTATCAAGTACAACGACAAGGTGAAGTCTCTGTTGAACGTAGAGAAAGTGCTAATCAACCTTAGGTGACAAGAGGCTTCTCTGGGGAGATCATCTCCCCAGATATCGAAACCATCAACTTCGATTTCAACCAAGGAACAACAGAAAAAGGTTGAAGGCAAAGCTATAAAACGCGAGCGGCAACATGGAAGAAAACGACAAGAAACACGTAACAAAAATTCTACGGACTGAGCGGTTTATTCTTTAACCGATGCCCTATCAAAATATAATTAAAATTATATAAAAATATAGCGATTTTTAAGAATTATATTGCTGAACAGTGAATAATATTATAAGAACAGATCATTTTGACTGTTTTATGAAACGTCGAGAAGTAAAATGATCAAGTTATTGCTATGAAAATAATCTTAATTGATGCAAAACTGTTTGTTTGGAAAACTCGTCCCTGAAGAAAGAAAGACTGATCGATACAACAATGAAGATCGGTGCTTTTACGTGTCCAAAGACTGACTTCTCGATTTATTTTATGCTTCGAAGATAAATCGAACCGACACTGATAATTGATTTTCTCCTCTCGATCTCTTACAGTGCAGAATATAACGAAATGGAGCTTGACTAAAGTGATAAGAGATACGCACATATAATCGGTTCCGTTCCTTCATTCAAGTGATGAATTTGTCAATCGAAGTAAAGAAAATCGGTAATATCCCGATATTCTGCCGGGAGCGTAACGCGCAATTAAATTAACTTCGAAGCACATAGCTGTGCAAATGCAATTTTAAACAAAACTATCTACTATTTAATGCGCAGCTAAGAGTGGGGAAACAACTACCTGTGACATTATATAGCAGTATTGAATTGGGATATATACGTAATATACCCATAGAATGAGGATATTTTATTAATTCTCTTAAGAACTGAACAAATAATCAGAAGTTTGTTAATGTAACGTTTATAAGCGAATGAAAAGAGGGAGACATGTTGTTTGTGAGTGATCAAGACGACGGGAAAACGAAATCTTTGAGAGTAGATTTTTCTCAATCGTTGAACCAAGTCTCGGAATAGTAATAATAAAAATAATAATAACGTAAATAGTAATAATAATATTAAGAGTGCGAGAAAACGTAGCTGTCATACCAGATATATTTTTATCTCGTACGTGGCTTCAAGAAGTTTCTCTGTTTTTAAGGGACTTCTCTCAGAGATTTGTAGAATTAAAATGCGCGACCGTATGCGTTAATATTAGTTTTCCTCTTTGAACTATTACCGAACACGTCGTTGGAAGAATCAACGTTAAAGGGATCCTAAAGCGAAGCTCGAACTCCGACAAAATCACTAGATGTCGCTGTTTTTCCAGCGCATCGACATGTCTGTATATACTACCACACCAATATTTCACGCAACCTATGATACATTCAGTTGCACATTCGTATAATTCAATTTTCGTATAACAAATTTGTCGCGATAAAGCGTCTAAGTCTAATTCTAAGAACTCGACGTTATTTGTTCGTGCAAACTACGTGTTTGTGGATCACTATTTCATAGTAAGTATAGGTTGCAAAATTTTCGTATCAAGCAAATGTTGTCACGACTTGACAGCTTGAGATGCCATGTTACACTAAGAAATGATAAAAAATATATCAATTTCGGAATTTTTTGTCGTTCTCGGCATAAACACCTCACAAATACGTATTAATGTATATACTTTAATCCTGGAAAAGGATTTTCGAATCTGTGAAAGAGAAAAAAGTATTTGTTATACAAAAATTATATGATTTAGTTGATAATACAGGCGGCTTTAGGATCCCCTTAAGAGAGTGTAACATAATTACTACCGCGAATGATAACGTTACCACAGTTTAGTCTTTGTTTTTTCCTTATGTTATAAAAGAGTTGTATATTATACCGTGCGAGTTATATTTATGAAATGTGTTAATTGATTATTCGAATAGGTGCTTGAAAAACTAGATGAGTTGAATTTCAATTTATTGAGTCCAGAATATTTGATCCATTGAGAAGACACCGTCACACATATTAAAGATGCATATCTGTTGTCTAGTTCTATTTTTAGTATTGCACTATTTTTAATATTCTATTGCTTATAACTATACAGTTGTATATGTATATTTGTATGTATATTTATGTATATATGTATGTGTTATATACACATTATATATAATTATATATACATTACATATATGTATGTAGGTACATGATATATATATATACAAATATACATATTATATGGAGCTGTGTGTACATAATATACACAAAAAAAATCGACTTTTAATTTATACAAGTTCTTTGTTTTTGTACAGCTTCCATTGTGTGTAGCGATTAATTTTAATTTGAATAAAAGATAGACTCAACAGGTGTCAATGGCTCAATTTTTGTAATATGGGAAGTGCAATTCGCGAAATAAACATTTTTGTTTCGTTGATGGTCTAATTGTAAATATATGATTATTTCTAAGAATTTAGAAAAGATAGACAATTACTTTGAAGGACTAAAGCGGCCAAAAAATGCCGTTTAAAAACGCTCACTGTGCAATAATATATCCGTTTTTTACACTTTATCTTCACATTATTTCTGTTTTTGTGATTATGCCAGGATAATGTTAACGCGTCGTATCGGCGATTGGAAACTCGCTAAGAAAACAATTTCTGAAAATTAAGAAGGGTTACTCTTCGCACAGAACACAAGAAGATGCAATTAAGTATAATAAATCAAAGAAAGAAGTCAAATAGAAAAATATCTAATAAAAACTTTTTAATTTTTATTGTAACTAATTCGATATATAGAATTTTAGGATAAAGAAGAGATAAATCAGCGAGTTTCGATCATCAAAGCGATGCCGTGTTTGATTGAAGCAATTTAGGAATGCAAATTTTATATAAGAGAGGTGAGGAGTTATTTTAAAATTGGACAGAATCAATTCGGGAAAAATATATCGATTGTACTTATTGTCTTGCGACGTTCCTGTATTGATTTTTGGACGAACGAAAATATTAGCGTATGCGAAGGAATGTTATGAGATGAGAAAAAAAGGATACGACCAGATAGTTCGGTTTCGTTTAGGATGCTTAGAATGCTGTAAAACGCGTTTATTTTAACGCCATGTGCAGCACAGAGATTTCAATCGTTATAATCAGTCTCAGGGAAAAATCCACGTGTATTCTTGAAAATAACTTGGTAGTGTACTGACTACAGATGCGTATGCCAATGCGTGTGTTCGTGTAAGCGACGCGTATCAGTGCGTATGAGTGTACAGTAGCTAGTAAAATCCCGTTACAAGGGATAATTAATTAATATCGCTAATATTATTGATATAATTAATAAAAGAACGATTTTATCGAAGTATTTAAAAAAGCTAGAGACTGATTTGGAAATAATTTTGTTAGACTATCAAAATAATGATGTAGGATGTTTAAATCGATAGAATGTTAGAATTTTTGCAGTATTGTCATCAATGCTCAAGGGAGCATAAGTACCTAGATGCATTAAAACAAAGCATAATTTTGTGTTTTGAGAAAAACGTATTTAAAGTTTTACATTCTGTTTACACTACAAAAACATTAAAAGTTTTACACTTACATTGAATTTGCACCTACTCCAGGATCGTAAAACAAACTTTGCTGCTTGAAGACTTGATGAATACAATAGAAACGAGAAAGATTCTGTTTTGAGTATACGTCTATCTGTCTAGCGCGCTCGATTATAATTTTGTGCAACTTCTCTATTTTTTGATTTATAACTGTACAGGAATGTTGTTTAAGATATGAAGCTTTAAAAATATGTAAAAATTTGTGGTTTTTTGAACCCTTCTGGGTATCTACGCCTCTTTAAGAGTTCTATAATTATTTTAATGGAAATTATTTTAATTATTTTAAACGAAATATTTTCAGATCTGTATGTATTGAAAATTTTAAATACTTTAGTAAAATCGTTCCTTTCATTTAATTGATATTGAGTGATATTAATTGATGCGACGCAATATGTTGCGCAAGCGACGGCGTGCACTCGGGCGACTCCTTATAATTTTTATTTAGCTAACGATGTCGAGTGGATAGGGGCGTGATTACATTATGCCGATTGTATATACATATTTTCAGAAAGGAAAAACGAAATAAAGATAAAGAAGAGCGAAACGCAGAAAAGTTACTTTTCTCTCTGACAGAATGATAAGAAACCGTGGTATGTACGTACTGTATCTTTTATTCTTAAGTAGTTAAAGTGTAAGTAGACTGCGGTACTTGTTTATAATAGCGTATACTATTTGTGTATAATATAAAGCATTAACCGACTTCGAGATAGTCACGTTGTATGAACTAAGTATGTATATATGTTGCGACTACTCTCTAGAAATATTATTTACTATTACTCTGCTATCACTACCGCAACTATAGCTACTATCACTACTGCTGCTGCTGCTGCTGCTATTACTATCACTACTACTACTACCACTACTACTACTATTACTACTACTATTACTACTACTACTATTATCATCTATGATTACGCGCTTTTTTATTGTATCATATATACATAGTAGTTAAACGATGGATGTAAATTTTCTTAGTCGTGTAACATTCACACAACGCCTCTCCCTTCTATTGCCCTCCTTATATTTATATATTAAAAAAACTTCTAAATGTGTTAATGCTGCTGCTTTAATGCGGATAAAGAAAAACAGAAGTTATATACAAATATATATATATAAAATATGAACAAATATATAAATATAAATAAATATATATATATACAAATATATATTTTATTTCAGAGATTTAGTTCGAAACAACGTTGAAGCTGATGAACAAATTAGAGTCTTACTGTGATTCGTGTAAAAAGGAAATCGTTATTATTGTCATTGCCGTAGTCGTTACAAGCGAGTCACGATGGACCCGACGAATAACTTTCTAAATGAAGAAAAAATATTTGTGATTTTTTTTCGCTAATAACAATAACGAGTTATCTAATCGATGTAATAAAAACGAGTATTTTTACTGAAACTCTTATTCCTATTCACTAACCCCAATCACTTAGTCGCTAAAACACTGGACATACATATTAAATGTAACAAGATTTTAATTTTTTTATATATCATCTCAACATTGCAAAACTTATATTTTTATTTTTTTTATGTATAATAAGATGCATTATTAAAAATGATAATTTTTAACTTAAAATTGATTTTGAAGATACGTTATACCAAGTAAATTGTCATTTATCTACAAATATATAAGCAA